GTAGCTGGGATTACAGGCATGCGCCAACATGCCCAGCTAGTTTTGTATTTTCAGGAGAGACAGGGTTTCACTTTGTTGGTCAGGATGGTCTCAAAAGGACCTTTTTTTTACAGTCATTCTTTTGACAGTGTTCAACCATGAATTGAAAGTCTCTAAAAGGAATTTTTTCTTGGTTCTCTAAAAGAGGACCACTCTTTTAGGGAGTGAACCCAAGACACAATCACAATACCAGAAAAAATTGTGTAAAGTAAGTTTATACATATATGTTATTAATTTAACTTAAAACATGTGAAGAGGCATTTATTTGGAATTATATGTTCATCTGTATGACTTAATTTTTGTGTCATAAATGTTCTTATTAAGAGACAGCAATAGTTAACAGGGTCAATTACTAGTAATTAACAGTACAAATTATTAAGCAGGTGTTTGAAAAAATATAACACTGTTTAAATTAAGTTTTATTTTAGAGTTGTTTTAGATTTACACAGATATAGCAAAGAAAACACAGATTTCCCATGTAGCTGCAACCCAGCATCCTCTCTTATTAACATCTGCTGTCAGGATGTCTCATTTCATTTGTCACAGTGAATGAACAAATATTGATATACTATTATAAACTGAAGCCCATATTTCATTTGGATTTCCTTAGTTCTATCTTTCCCCCCTTCAGAGAGGAGGAGTTCTGTCTTCCCCCGACCCACCCAGGTTCCCACATAACATTATTTGTCACGACTCTTTGGTTCTTCTTGGCTGTGATGGTTTCTCAGACTTTCCTTCTTCCAATGACCTTGACAGTGTTAAGGAGGATTGGTCAAGCATTTTGTAGAACATCTCACATTGTTATTTACCTGGTGCTTTTCTGATAAGTTGACTGGGGTTATGGGTTTGGGGGAAGCAAATCACAGAGGTGAAATGCTATTTTTATCACCTCATGCTCGAGCTCAGGAAGGTCTATGCTGCAGTGAGCCATGATTGTGCCACTGCACTCCAGCCTGGGTGACAGAGCGAGACCCTGTCCAAAAAAAAAAAAAAGTTCATTTCATTTGGTTCATGATTTTGGTGGCAGGAACATTGAAGATTAAGCAGCTTGCATTTGGTGGGGCTTAATGGTGCTTCAAAACAAGGCGCAAAGCAGAAGGGGGCCAGTGTGCGCCAGAGATCACATGGCAATAGAGAAAGTAGGAGAGAAACCAAGGAAGCTAGACTCTTTTTAACAGCCTGCTCCTGGCTGGGCAACAGAGTGAGACACTGTCTCAAAAATAATAACAATAATTTTTAAAAAAATGTTAGCCACGAATTAGGCATAAACACTGTGATAATTTTCAGTGTCCCCTCGACAGGATTAAGGGATACTCACATACCTGGTAAAGCACTATTTCTGGGTGTATTTGTGAAAGCATTTCTGGAAGTCCCTTGATAAGAAGCTCTGTTGATTTAGTCATCACTCTCTTCTTGTTACTGAGAGGGAGACTCCAGTCAAAATGGGGATTTTCTTGAGAGATGTAAATTTCCCTCACAAAAGTTTAACATCTGCTCTATTTTCAGAACTTCCCTGTGTCTGAACTCCTGGCTTGAGGCGATCCTCCTGCCTGGGATTACAAGCCTGGCCAACCTGTCTTTTTTATTTTTGTACAAGATTTTTCACAGAGTATAAACTTTTCTTACCCATATACTAAATGAGTGTGGGAGTGGGAGAGTGAGGGTGGAATATTCATGAGTTTTCTGGGAAAGGGATGGGCAATTCCCAGAACTCAGGCTTCCTCCCATTTTTCAACCATATAGGGTAACTTCTGGACATTGCCGTGGCATTTGTAAACTGTCATGTCACTGGTGGAAGTGTGTTTTATTAGCATGCTACTCAAACCGTCTTTGCAAAATTATGACTGAGACAGCAAAAGAAATCTAACTTAACTGACTCCAACTTGCTTATAATCTTCAAGCTGTCCTGTTCATTCCTGGGGGTGGGCTGAACTAACTTTGGGAGAAACTTAGTTTATAGTTCAAACAAAGATGGTAACAGCCCTTTCCCAGAGCAGCCCTCTTTCTTGCCTGGGGACTAGATTGCCTTTGTAGAACTAACATTAACCACAACATTAGAAATTGTGGTTTAGGAGTCATGCAGCTGGAGGCTACAAGATCCTGACCCTCTCTGAACTGCTCCTAAGGTCAGCACTTGAGATGTTTTGTAGACCCTGCACTTGATGGATCAGCTGACACCACCCAGATTAATAAACTGGCTCATCTGAACTTGTGGTCCCTACCCCAGAACTGACTCAGCTCAAGAAGACAGTTCAGATTCCCTGTGATTTCATCTCTGACCAATCAGCACTCTTGGCTCACTGGCTTCCTCCAAACCACCAAGTTATTTTTAAAACCTCTGCTCCCTTGGTGGGCAAGGTGGCTCTCACCTGTAATCCCAGTACTTTGGGAGGCTGAGGCAGGTGTATAACCTGAGGTCAGGAGTTGGAGACCAGCCTGGACAACATAGTGAAACCCCATCTCTACTAAAAATACAAAAATTAGCTGGTGTGATAGTCTACCCCTATAATCCCAGCTACTTAGGAGGCTGAGGCAGGAGAAGAGTTTAAACCCAGGACATGGAAGTTTCAGTAGCTAAAATCATACCATTGCACTCCAGTCTAGGTGACAAGAACGAGCCTCGTCTAAAAAAAAAAAAAAACCTCTGCTCCCTGAATGCCTGGGGGAGACTGATTTGAATAATAACAAAACTCTGGTCTCCATCACAGCCGGCTCTGCATGAATTACTCTTTCTGTTTTGCCATTCTCCTGTCTTGATCAGTCAGCTCTGTCTAGGTAGAGGGCAAGGTGAACCACTTGGGCGGTTACAGTAATGCAGTATAATTGGTGTATAGCAAGCAGTGAGGATGCCTAGAAGTCACTTTCATAACCATTGGCCTGTTTTCGTTTGTTTGTTTGTTTCCATATTCTGTTTTATCAGTAGGGTCTTTGTAACTGAGAAGACTTAACCTCCTGGGAATGCAGCCCAGCAGGTCTCAACCTTATTTTACCCAACACCTATTCAAGATGGAGTCGCTGCAGTTCAAATGGCTCTGACAGTGCCATATATGAAAACTCATGACCAAATCCAAGGTCACATAGCTTTCTTTCTATGTTTTCTTCTAGAATTTGTATATTTTTATGGGCCAGGTATGGTGGCTCAAACCTATAATCCCAGAACTTTTGGAGGCCAAGGTGGGTGGATATCCTGATGTCAGGACCAGCCTGGCCTGCATGGCGAAACCCCATCTCTACTAAAAATATAAAAATTAGCCAGGCATAGTGGTGGGCACCTGTAATCCCAGCTACTTGGGAGGCTGAGGCAGGAGAATCGCTTCAACCCAGGGGACAGAGGTTGTAGTGAACCGAGATCACACCGCTGCACTCTAGCCTGGGCAAAGGAGCAAGACTTTGTCTAAAGGAGAAAAAAAGTAAATAAGAGAGAAAAAAAAGAAATTGCATAGTTTTGTCACCAGAAAAGGGGTCTGGCCCAGACCCCAAAACAAGTTTTTGGATCTCACACAAGAAAGAGTCACAGAGTCATTTATGGTGAGTCACAGAGTCTAGTGACGTTAAGAGAGTTGATTAGCAACTACTCAGTTACAGAGCAGGGTGTCCTCAGAAAGCGAGAGGAGGAACATACCTTTTTAAAACAAAAAAAAATTTTTTTTGAGGCTTTTATTCTTGTTACAATGGCATGATCTTGGCTCACTTCAACCTCTGCTTCCTGCTTTCAAGGATTCTCCTGCCTCAACCTCCCAAGTAGCTGGGATTACAGCTGTGGGCCACCATAGCCAGCTAACTTTGTATTTTTAGTAGAGACTGGGTTTCACCATGGTGGCCAGGCTGGTCTTCAACTCCTGACCTCAAGTGATCTGCTCTCCTTCACCTCCCAAAGAGCTGGGATTGCAGGTGAGCCATTGCACCTGGTCTTAATGTTTGTTTATATAGGTTACTAAGAATAGCATTGTCTCTTATAAAGGCTTGTGATCAGTTTGTGACAGCCTGTTAGTATTGTGACTTTTCTACATTACTGTTGATTTTAACAAAAATTTATGTGTAATATTATCTTTAAAAAAAACTTATTTTTAAACTAACTTAAAGTACTGGCACATTTTTATGAGTTTCGGGTCTTTAGTTATTAACTTGTTCCTGCAACAATAAATATTTTGTAACCAAAAGTGCTCAACCCCCTAAATATATAATCTAACAAATTAAATATGCACGCACCCGTGTGTGTGTGTGTGTGTGTGTGTGTGTGTGAGAGAGAGAGAGAGAGAGACAGAGAGAGAGAGAGACAGGGTCTCACTCTGTCACCCTGGCTGGAGTGCAGTGGTGTGATCATGGCTGGCCGACTGTGGCCTCAAACTCCTGGGTTCTAGTTATCCTCCTACCTCAGCCTCCCGAGTAGCTGGGACACAGGCACTTGGCACCACACCAGCTAATTTTTATATTTCTTGTAGACATGGGCAGGGGGGGTCTCACTATTTTCCCAGGCTGGTCTTGAACTTCTGATCTCAAGTGATCCTCCCGCCTTGGCCTTCCAAGGTGCTAGTATTACAAACGTGAGCCACTACACCCTGTTTGGATTTAACTTTTTTTTTTAAGCTTTTATTTAAAATAAAGTCACTGTTGTTGAGACACCTCTGACAGTTTTGCATTTTAAGTCTGAAGACCATGTTGAGTGAATTTTTGCATAAGCTGTAAAATGTGCATCCATGTTTATTTCATTTCCGATGGTTTCCAATTAATTGTCCCTTCTTCCTTTTTAGAAACACATGGGCTAGGGGGTCCATGTCAGTTTGCATTTCCACAACGATGGCGCTGAACACTCTGCGCTCCGACTTTCAGCGGTGCAGTGGGACAGCCAACAGAGGGCGTGCCTCCGTTGCCGGCGCCCATCCGCGGAGAGCCCAAGGGCCCTGCAGTGCCTCCTGCCGCCAGCAGAGGGCGAGCCAGCCCAGCTTTTCTTAACCCGGAGGCCGCCGTGTCCCTCCTACTCCCTCAGCACAGGCGCCCAGCGAGGGCGAGAGCCGCATTCTTCTTAGCTGCAGACCGGGGGACGCCCCTCACTTTTGGACACCTCGAGCCTGCGTCCACGGTGAGTAAAATTCTTCCGGTTCGCTACCCTGACTGCTGAGGGGCAGAGACCGTTCATGTGGAAAATTAGAAGCCAAAACCCCGGTGAACCCAGCGCAGCCGAGGTTCTCTCTACACACCAAGGCGAGGCGGCCACAGGACCAAGCATCGCGCTCGGAACAGACATGCAGCATCAGGAGAGCAAATGGGGCACCCGCCACACCGATAACCCCCCATGCTGCCATTAACGCTCTGTCTGTGCCACTGGTGTTAGCACCCATTATACAGATGTCACACCTGTCAGGGGAACGCAGCAGGCGCTGCGCAGGTCTGACCCCGGAAATGCGGATGTGTCCCTCAGAGCGCACGGAACACCTGGAACGTTCATGACACCGTCACACTCAGAGCATGCACGTATCACCGTAATGCTCGTGACATTGTCAGACTAGCCCAACACCCATCACACTCATATAACCCCCGGAACACGCCTGTGTCCCTCAGAGCACACGCATATCACCCGGCACGCCCGTGACACTCAAAGTAACCCAACACCTGACACATTCGTATAACCCCTGGAACATGCATGTGTACCTCAAAACACACACGTAACTCTCAGAACACCCGTCACACAGTCAGACTCAGAGTGCACATATCACCCAGAATGCACAAGTGACACCATCAGATTAACACAGCACCCATCACACTCATAACCCCCGGGACACGCATTTGTTCCTCAGAACCGGTAATGCCCAGAACGCCTGTGACAGTGTCAGACTCAGAGTGCATATATCACTCAGAATGCACAAGTGACACCATCAGATTAACCCAACACCTGTCACAGTCACATAACCCCCGGAATATGCATATGCCCCTCAGAACAAGCATGTAATGCTGAGAATGCCTGTGACACCGTCAGACCAACACAACACCCGTCACACTCATATAAACCCCGGAACACGCATGTGTCTCTCAGACACACGTATCACCCGGAACACCTATGACACCGTCAGACTAACACAGCACCCATCACACTCATATAACCTCTGGAACACACATGTCCCTTGGAACACACATATTGTGCGGGACGCAGACCTGGCCTTTGGAGCCCACTCAGAGCAGCTGCAGCGCTAAGGATGGGACCCTCCAGCTTTTGCCAGGGCTCGGGGTTCACAGCCTATGCCGAGTTGGGTTTGGGCTGAGTTTGACCTGTTACGAAGTGTGATGTTGTTTTTCCTGCCTTTCTGACGTGGTATTGACATGGTTGTTTTAAAAGGTAGTTGACTTCCCAGTAATGTCGTACTTCTGAGAAACTTGCAATTGCAGTGAGTATGTCTTCTCCTTTCTCTCCGATTCTCCAGCAGTTATTGTAGCTTCACACAAAATACCCCCATCTGTTTCTCTGTTTCACCAAAAGCAGGAACACTCCTCCAGATGACCCCCATATAACCCCCAAATCTAGAAATACACAGTTTCTTTTTTCTTTTTTTGATGATGGAGTCTTGCTCAGTTGCCAGGCTGGAGTGAAGTTGTGTGATCTCTGCTCACTGCAACCTCCACCTCCTGGGTTTAAGACATTCTCCTGCCTCAGGCTCCCCAGTAGCTGGGATTACAGGTGTGTGCCACCAGACCTGGCTAATTTTTTATATTTCTTTTTTTTTTTTTTTTTTTTTAAAGACGGAGTCTTGCTCTAACACCAGGCTGGAGTGCAGTGGCACAATCTCGGCTCACTGCAACCTTTGCCTCCCGGTTCAAGTGATTCTTCTGCCTCAGCCTCCCAAGTAGCTGGGACTACAGGCATGCACCACCATGCCAGGCTAATTTTTGTATTTTTTTAGTAGAGATGGGGTTTCACCATGTTGGTCAGTATGGTCTTGATCTCTTGACCTTGGGATCTGCCCACCTCACCTCCCAAAGTGCTGAGATTACAGGCATGAGCCTCGACGCCCAGCTGAAAATATATGGTTTCTATGTGAAAGTCCAGTCTACAGACCTACTTCACTTCACTGCCTGCCCCAGCTGGGACAAAAATGTCTCTCCCCATAGGGAACCAATTTTCCTTTTTGGAAACTGTTCCTGAGACTCTCAATTTTTTTTTTTAGATGAAATTTCACTCTTGTGCAGGCCGTAGTGTAATGGTGCAATCTAAGCTCAGTGCACCCTCCACCTCCTGGGTTCAAGAGATTCTCCTGCCTCAGCCTCCTGAGTAGCTGAAATTACAGGCATCCACCACCATGCTTGGCTAATTTATTATATTTTTAGTAGAGACAGGGTTTCACTGTGTTGGCCAGGCTGGTCTCAAACTCCTGACCTCAGGTAATCCACCTGCCTTGGTCAAGCAGAGTGCTGGGATTACAGGCATAAGTTACCACGCCCAGCTGACTCTCTTAGTTTTCAAAGCCTTGACGATGTAAAGAGCAGACATGACTCCAAGCTGGGTCTGCCCAGCATTTCCTCCTGAACAGGTGCAGACCCTGCGTTCCCAGCAGGAACACCCTGGCCTGGTGCTGCGCTCTCCTCAGTGCAGCCCACCTGGAGGAGCTTCCATCCATCCCACCACCACTGGCAATCTCACTGGCAAATATTTATTTACAATCACAAATTTCACCCCGTCAAGCTCTGGATTTAACTTTGCCAATGGTTTCCCAATGGAAACCTTAGAACCACGGTCTCTGGATCTCAGGTGCTCCAGCCTGCTGCTCTCTCCCATCCAGCCCACTACCGCCACCTGCAGTCCCATTCATAGGTACATGGGCTCTGGGCGACTCGGGGATTTTATGTGTATAATCTCAACCCATTCACCCAGTGCCCACCCTAGTTTTTTAAGGCTTTTTCTAGATACGTCCATAAAATCACAGCAGTTATGTTATCTAAAAGTAGAAAAGTTAATGTGATTTTTCTAAAGACAAGGAAATAATTCATTATTTATAAGATCATCTGTAGGATAACCTTTGAGTTATTTTATTGGAGATGGAGTCTCCCTATGTTGCCAAGGCTGGATTCAGTGGCACAATCTCTGCTCACCATAGCCTCCACCTCCCGGATTCAAATGATTCTCATGCCTCAATCTCCTGAGTAGCTGGGACTATAGGTAGCCATCACCAGTCTCAGCTAATTTTTGTATTTTTAGTAGAGATGGGATTTCATTATGTTGGCCAGGATGGTCTCGAACTCCTGACTTCGTGATCCGCCCACCTCATCCTCCCAAAGTGCTGGGGTTACCAGTGTGAGCCACCGTGCTCAGCCACCCTCAATTTATAAATCAAGGAAATACTAGTTCCCTGGAACCAAGGTTTATGTTTAAGATAATTAGGAAAGAAAAACAAAATCTCAGTGCTGAAGGAAAGGCAAATGGCACCGTTGATTATTGAAATTTCAGAAGAAGGCTGGGTGCAGTGGCTTATGCCTATAATCCCAGCACTTTGGGAATCCAGACTGGCAGATCACTTGAGGTCAGGAGTTTGAGACCAGCCTGGACAAGATGGTGAAACCTCGTCTCTACTAAAAATATAAAAATTAACCAGGAGTGGTTGCACACACCTATAGTCCCAGCTGCTCAGGAGGCTGGGGCAGGAGAATCACTGAACCCTGGAGCTGAGCTTGCGGTGAGCTGAGATTGTGCCACTGCACTCCAACATGGTTAACAGAGAAGACACTGTCTCCAAAAGAAAAAGAAAAGAAATTTTAGAATTTTAGGAGAATTTAGTGGACAGATTATTACCTGGCTATATTTTGTAGCCCTGTGTTAGCAGTTGCAAGGTAGTTTATGTTCAAACTCTTAGATTTTATATAGTCAATCAAACTACCAAAAAGTCCTGTCCACATCATGATAAACTATATAAGTATTTGGAAAACTCTTCATCTACACAATGGAAAATTGGTGAAGTAAGTGTAGTTTTTGTTTTGTTTTGTTTTGTTTGTTTGTTTGTTTTTGAGATGGAGTCTCACTCTGTTGCCCAGGCCAGAGTGCACAATCTCAGCTCACTACATCCTCTGCCTCTTGGGTTCAAGTGATTCCCCTGCCTCAGCCTCCTGAGTAGCTGGGACTACAGGCAAGGGCCACCACACCTGGCTGATTTTTTTGTATTTTAGTAGAGATGGGGGTTCACATGATGGCCAGGATGGTCTTACACTCCTGACCTCATCCTTCTGCGTCGGTCTCTCAAAGTGCTGGGATTACAGGTGTGAGCCACTGCGTGCAGCCATAAGTGTAGATATTTAAGCAGATGAATTATTAATATTTAAGTAGTGAAATGAGTAAGGGAATGTAATTATGTCACACCTCTGGTATGGGACTTTGGGCTCCCTCTGTTGCCTCCTGCTGGATGGCAAATTGTTGGCCGGTGGAGACTGAAGGATAAACTGTCACCTTCATTGAAAACTCTAGTCCAGCAGGAAAGTCCTCATTTCTGAATGTACCATTTCCACCCAGGCATTTTTTTTTTTTTTTTCAGATGGAGCTTTGCTCTCATCGCCCAGGCCGGAGTGCCATCAGGCAATCTTGGCTCACCACACTTCCATCTTCTGGATTCAAGCAATTCTCCTGCCTCAGCCTCTCCAGTAGCTGGGATTATAGGTGCATGCCACCGTGCCTGGGTAATTTTTGTATTTTTAGTGGAGACAGGTTTTTGCCATATTGGCAAAGCCAGTCTTGAACTCCTGACCTCAAGTGATCCATCTGCCTCGGCCTCCCAAAGTGCTGGGCTTACAGGTGTGAGCCACCATGCCTGGCCTTTTCTTTTGGAGACAGGGTTTTGTGTTGTCACCCAGACTGGAGTGCAGTGGTGTGACCTCGGCTTACTGCAACCTCCATATTCTGGGCTTAAGCAATCCTCCTGCCTCAGCCTCCCAAGCAGCTGTGACTACAGGTGTGTGCCACCATGCCTGGCTAATTTTTGTGTTTCTAATAGAGATGGCCTTTTGCTGTGATGTCCTGGGTGGTCTTGAACTCCTGGACTCAAGTGATCCCCCGTCTCAGCCTCCCAGTGTGCTGTGATTATAGGCATAAGCTACTGTGCCCAACCT